GCATTTGTTTCCACTTGCCTTTGTTTCCATGTCAACAGTGCTATTAATGAATGCACCATTCCAGGAAACGTCAATAAGGAGCAAAGAAGAATGAACAAGCACTAAAAACTTCACACACGGTACACACCCCGCACAATTATCTCACTTTAATGAAAATAGGTGAGGTCACCTACAGCATTAACAAATGCTTGGTAACACATTCTGACCCAGATGATTTTTCACAGTTCAATAACAACATGTTTGAAGTTTTCACTACCAACAATACACCCACCGGAGAGACCAAGTGTGGGTACAAGAGAAGCAACCAGCAATTATTGTGTTGACTTCTGTTACTTTGATCTCTGGGTCATAACCTTTGCTTTCTTGCAATCTTCAAAGCAGAGACTGTAAATGAGGTTATTTAGAATGGTATTTCAAGCGACTTTTTTTCTGTTTCCTTTTTGGACTGGAATGTTTTCTGGCTTTCCTCCCTCCCCTATATTTTAAAATACTGCTCTTAACGCCCAATTATCCCACACATGAGCTGCTCTCCCCACACCCCAAAGTATTAGAGAAACTAGGGTTACCATACGTCCGGATTTTCCCGGACATATTCGGCTTTTTGGTCGTCAAATCCCCGTCCGGGGGAAAATTCCAAAAAGCCGGACATGTCCGGGAAAACAGGGAGGGGTCATGGGACTTGGATCCGCGCTGGGGCCAGAGCTGGAGCCGCTGGGGCCGGCGGTGCTCGGCCGCCGGCCAGCGCCGCTCGGCTGGGGCCGGGGCCGGACAGGCCGGTGCCCCGGGCCCGATCCGAGCTGGAGTCGTCGGGGCTGGAGCCGCTCAGCTGGTGCCCCGGTGCCGGAACCGCTCGGCTGGGGCCGGTGCCCGTGCCCCAGGGCCCGAGCCGAGCTGGAACTGCTGGGGCCGGGGCTGGCGCGCTCCGCCGGAACCGGGGCCGGCACCCCAGGGCCCGAGCCGGGCCGGAGCCGCCGGGGCCGGAGCCGGTGCCCCGGGGTCCAAGCCAAGCGGAACCGGGGCCGGTGCCCCAGGGCCTGAGCCGAGCCAGGTCGGAGCCGCTCGGCCGAGGCCGGTGCCCCGGGGCCCGAGCCAAGCTGGAACCGCCGGGGTGGGCCGGGACTGGTGCCCCAGGGCCCGAGCCAAGCAGGGCCCGAGTCGCTCGGCTAGGGGGCTGGACTGGGCCGCGCCTCCTCACGCCCCCCCGCCCCAGCTTACCTGCTGCCTGCCTCCCTGTTTCAGGCTTCCCGCGAACATTTGATTCGCAGGAAGCAGGGGAGGGGGAGGAGCAGGGGGCGGAGCGTTCAGGGGAGGGGGCGGAGTTGGGGTGGGGCGGGGGCAGGGAAGGGGGCGGAGTTGGGGCGGGGGCGGAGCCCCTTGGAGTGTCCTCTTTGTTAGTTTAAAAAATGGTAACCCTAGAGAAACTATTTCTTGAAATAAACTCATGCAAAAATGTAATGTTGGCAAACATTTTAAACAATAGCATTTCACACAAAAAGGAAACTGAACACACATTTAAAAAAATATACATAATTTTCACAAAAACAAAAACCACTCTGTTCCAGCATGTTCCATAGTGCTAGTTGAGAAATAGCTTTTCTTCCTAAAAAATTTTTCAAAAGAAAAAATATTTTTTACAAAAACAGCTTTTTAAACACATTCAATACCATAGATCTCAGAGGATCAGGGCCTTGCTGAAAGAATAATTTCATATGTAAAATTATGTATATAACATCCTACATGTATTTAAATATGTTATAACTTTTAAAAAAATACATTAAAATTCATTTTTTAAATTTGTGCTATTAACAGCACTTTAGATAATTAAAACTGAAATGCAGAAAAATCTATTTGACTTTTCACCACTGGGTCAGGTTTTTGCAGGGTTTTGTTGTTTGGTTTAGTATTTTGCTTTTTGCATTTCCATTCAGCTTGTTACAACAAAAATAGTTGATAAAATCTTGATTTCTAGCCACTTACTTTCTGGTTCTCACACATCTGTAGGATGCAGCAATGTTCAGGTTGCAAGCACCAAAAGGTTTGAATTCAAAACAAATGACTCTGTGGTGTGTGGTGTTTTGTTTTTGTTTTTGAAATTTCATACAGGTTTTGTCAAACTATTTTCTTTTAAAAAAAAATTAGGGCAGAATTTTATAAGGCACTGAGTCCTATGAAACTAAATACGCTGAACTCTAATTGACTGGAATGGAGGTGAGTAAGCTATGCATTTTGCAAGACGTGTCCCTTCAAATTTGGGCCTCAACTCCCTGACTACAGCCCCTTAAGCAAAACTTTTGAACTCTCACCTACCTACGTAGATACCGAGTCAATATTCTCCATAATATAGTAGCCATAATAAGTATACATACTAAGACCTTTTGATTATAATACTGTCTGGCACACTCTAGAGATATGTCTACACTGCAATTAAAAATCCATGGATGGGCCATGTCATCTGG